AAATTCCTTCACTCCTTCCAGAAATGTCCTTTCTTAGTCAGTGCAATCTTATACTAGACTCTTATGCACTATACCCTCTAGAAATTTAGTGGAAAGTTCTTGGACAAGGATTTGAGTTCTGATATCTACAGTCAAATTGTATACTATTTTTCCCATTTTAATTCATGTGGCAAATTTGTTGATAATTCTGGATGGTGTGTTGACTAAATGCATACCTCTTAATTATGGTCTACACATAAAAGTCAGGGTTAGGGGTAGTTTTATGGGTCAGAATACAAAAATTATTTATGTTCTGTGACCACTAGGTGGTGCCACGAATCAAGGAAAATAATGTGGTTAGTCTTGCTGGCCTATCAAGAATCACCCACAGCTTAGTCTCTAAAGAAAGAAATTAAAGAAGAAACCTGAAAATGGAAAGATTTCCCATGCTCTTGGATAGGCAGGATCAACATAGTAAAAATGGCAATCATGCCAAAAGCAATCTACAGATTCAATGCAATCCCCATCAAAATCCCAACACATTTCTTCACTGACCTTGAAAGAGAAATTCTCAATTTTATATGGAGAGTCAAAAGACCCAGGATATCCAAAACAACCCTGTACAATAGAGGAACTCCTGGAGACATCACCATCCCTAACTTTAAGCTCTATTACAGAGCTATAGTCCTGAAAACAGCTTGGTATTGGCACAAAAATAGACTGGTAAAACAATGGAATAGAGTTGAAAACCCTGAAATTAACCCACACACCTACTAAAACCTGATTTTTGATAAACAATCCAAACATATACGCTGGAACAAAGAGAACATCTTCAACAAATGGTGTTGGCATAACTGGATGCAAACAAGTAGAAGACTACAGATAGACCCAAGCCTTTCACCATGCCCAAAACGTAAGTCAAAATGGACCAAAGACATCAACAAAAACCCAGCCACACTGAACCTACTAGAAGATGAAGTGGGAAATACCCTTGAATTAGTCAGTACAGGAGACTGCTTCGTGACCATAACACCAGTAGCAGAGACACTAAGATCAACAATTAATAAATGGGACCTCATGAAACTGAGAAGCTTCTGTAAGGCAAAGGACATAGCAAGACAAAATGACAGCCCACAGACTGGGAAAAGATACTCACCACCCCACATCTGACAGAGGGCTGATCTCCAAAATGTGCAAAGAACTCAAGAAGCTATTCTCAAAAACACCAACAATCCAATTAAAAAATGGGATACAGAACTAAATAGACAATTCCAATAGAGGAATCTAAAATGGCTAAATGACACATAAGAAAGTGTAGAACATCCTTAGCCATCAGGGATATGCAAATCAAAACAACTCTGAGATACCATCTTACTCCTGTCAGAATGGCTAAAAGCAAAAATAACAATGACAGTTTATGCTGGAGAGGATGCAGAGAAACAGGAGCACTCCTCCACTGCTGGTGGGAGTGCCAACTTGTACAGCCACTTTGGAAATGATTATCATGAATGCTCAAGAAAATGGGAATAAGTCTACCACAAGATCCAGCAATTCCACTCTTAGGCATATACCCAAAAGAAGCACATTCATATAACAAAGATATGTTCAACCATGTTCATAGCAGCATTATTTGTAATAGCCAGAAACTGGAAGCAACCTAGATGCCCCTCAACCGAAGAATGGATAGAGAAAATGTGGTATATTTACACAATGGTGTACTACTCAGCAGAAAAAAAATGGAATCTTGAAAATTGCAGGAAAAAGGATGGATCTATAAGAAACCATTCTGAGTGAGGTAACCCAATCACAAAACTACAAACATGATATATACTCACTCATATGTGGACCTGCTTAATGATACAGAGTAGTGACCGTGCTTTATCAGAGCTGCTTTTAATGATGTTTCTCAGATTGGTTTCCTTCCAGATGATGATTGACAAGCTAATTAAAAAAAATGGTGCTAGGTTCCTCAAGGGTAACAGAACTGTGCTGTTTTTCTGGGATTTTGTTTTTTACTTTTTTTTTTTTAATGGAGAGTGCTGGATGTCTCTACAATTTTGTTTCAATGACTGTAGAACCTGAAAAAGCTGTTGCTGCTATTGATGCATAACATACTACCATTGTTGGTATAATATATATGTATATATATATATTATATATAATTTGAATATATATATAATTTGAATTTTTGGAATCTTTAGCTGTGCTGTCATTTTTGGGAAAAAGTATCCCAGTTTACCCCGTTCAGTTGGCATTGTACAAAATTAACAGCCATATTGTTCTAGAAATGTTGAATTTAATTTTTTTTCATTTGTACAGTGGTAATGCACTGTATTAAATATGTAAGGTCTTTAAAAAAAAGAAGGGATCTTGAGAGCCCATCCCATATGAAGGATGCTCTCTTGACCTGGACACATGGGGATGGGCCTAGGCCTGGCCCATGACGATGTGGTAAACTTTGGGGAGCCGCTTTTGAGGGCCTTACCCTGCCTGGGAGTGGAGGGGGTATGGCTAGGGGCAGGTGGGATGTTGGGGGAAGGGGGAACGAGGGAGAAGGGATTGACATCTGAAGCAAGCTTGTTCCTAATTTGAACTAATAAAATAAAATAAAAATTAAAAAAATTTCATACCTCCTTACAACTCTCCTGTTTTATTCTTTATTGCTCAGAGAAGCAGAATCCTACTCTCAACACCTGAAGCTCTTTCCAATGCTCTTCTGTGATGCTTTTGTGTATTCTGTGGACATCTGAATGTGCACCCCCATTTGACATCTCCTAC